GAAAGAGGCAGGCAGGGGTGGGGGGTGGGGAGAGAAACATCAATCGGTTGACTCCTGGCCAGGGCTCATAACTCTCTTTTTGACAACAGGATTTTTTAAAATTTTTTTTTTAATATACCTTTATTGATTTCAGAGAGAGGAAGGGACAGAGGGGGAGAGGGGAAATGCAGAGAGAAAAAGAGGAAAACTCTCAATGATGAGAGACTCATTGATCTGCTGCCTCCTGCACACCCTCCACTGGGAGTCTAGCTGCAACCCAGACATGTAACCTGACTGGGAATCAAACCACGATCCAACAGTGATCTCCTGGATCATCGGTTGGTGCTCAACCACTGAGCCATGCAGACCAGGCTTGACAATAGGATTTTAAATGCTAAGTATTCTGTTATATTGATACAGTATGTTTAAATATCCTTAAATTGTTAATAGTTGTTTACAATGTCATCTTTTTAGCTAAATGTTTTTGAACAACTTTAATTCTTTCCTTGAGACAAATCCCTAGAGGTGGAATCACTGAGTGAAAGGGCCGGAGGAGTACACCAACAATCCTATGCTTACTTCAGTATACGTCTCCTGAATCAATTTTCCCCCATAACCTTCTACCTTCAAATGTTTTAATTCCACAAATGTAACATTTAAGTCATTTCCCATATTTTTTATTACCTTCCTGTCCCCTCCCTTTCCTCCTCCAACAACCTCTCTATACATTCACCCCTGTACCCCCTGAAGGTAAGTTACAAAATGTATCACCTTGAGGAAACTAAGGCAGTTCAACCTGTGAGCTGCGACCACAATGTTTGACTTCTAAAACAATGCTATTCCCTAAATAAATATAAAGGGAATTCAAGGCACTCTCAGCTAGTATGACCCTCCTCCCAATCCCTTCTCCCTTGTTGAAGAGGTTTCTGTTGAGCGTTTCACTTTTGCCCAGATTTCTTAGTGCTATGCCCAGTGTAATAGAAAATCCACTGGCTCAAGAGTCAGGGAATTTGAGCTACAAGCCCAGGTCTGCCACTAACAGAGAGCAAGGTAAACCTCTTTGGACTTCAGATTCTTCACCTGAAAAATGTAGATAACACTTAGCTCACAGTATTATTGCAAAGATATGTGATAGTGAACCAGCTAGCTTCCTTTTAGATATTAAGAATGAAGATTTGAAAGAGCCTTTACTCCTCCTGGATGAACTCCTGATGTACCTGAAATCTTTGTTGGTGACAGGAAATATGTCGATGGAAAAAGGTTTTACTGTCACCTCCCGGACAGGTCCTTCACCATCTCTTCCATCTGGTGAATTTGTTCCCATCTGGAATCTCCCACCTGGTAGCTGAACCATGCCTGTCACCTGCCCATTTCCTGCAGAGAAAAAAAAGACAGTTGTCACTAATACACGAGTATATAAAAATCAAGTGGCAATATTTGGATCATATATAATACTCATAAAAATGAGTGTGCATCAACAAAAAAATGGAGGCTTAAAATTTTTGCTTTAAATTCTTGTTCTCCCACATAATTTGCTGGGTGACCTTAGGCAATCACTTAATCTGAGTTTTAATTTCTTCATCTATAAAATGGGAATAGCATCTATCTCATAGGCATAGCTGCACGAATTCAGTGTAAAATGTTAAGCACATGGTAGGTTTGCAACAAATGTTTATTTCCTTACTTCTCGATTCCTCTATACAACAACCCTTTGTCCCAGCGAGGTAAATCTAGACACTATACCCTGAAATATATCTAGACCTTTCTACCCATACTTCTGCTCATGCTGTTTCTCTGTCTCTTCCTCTCTACCTGTTGAACACTTATCAGTTCTTACCATTATATCATGTACTCCAGAAAGGAAAGGACTACATCTATTTTGAGAATGTATCCCTGGCACCTAGTGCAAGTGCAAAATAATTACCATCCAATTGAATGAGCTCCTTCATACTTGCTGTTTGAATGCCTCAAAAAAAAAAAAAAAATCAAATTAAAAGGATCTTTAATTCTACCCCCTTCTTTAACAGGAGGGAAACCAGGACCCAAAAGGGAAAGTGACTTTAAAGAGCTAGTTAGCAGGAGACAGGACTAGATCCAGGTCTCTTGACTTCCAGGCCAGTGCTATTTCCAACAGGTCACACTTCAAGGTATTACGTTTCTACCTAAGGGTGTCTAAGAACCTTAATTCCTCAAAGGCAGAGTCTATGTCTTTTCATGTCCCTCTGGATCCCGTCTTTGGCTCTCCTTCTCATTCTGATACACTCACACTGAGAACTCCACTCACTTCAAGGGGGGAAAAACGAGGCAGGCTGGAAAATCTCAGAATAAAAGGGAACTAAGAAAAAAACATACAATTGCAATGCAGAAAGTTTATCTTGACACGCATTCAAGAAGTAAGCTATAATTAAAAAACACTTACAGTAGGTGAATCTGAACACTGGCTGGATGTTAAATTTTTAGGTGGAAAATGGCATGATGTTTTTTTTCGTGACTTGACTTTTTGGCTACTCGAGCCCAATTACTTAGGAATAAAATTGTGTAAGGCTGCACTCACTCAGTGTGATCCGGGGGCGGGTGACCAGAGATGCA